TGTTGACATTTTCCTCTCCTGTTGCCACCAGCACCCAGCCAAGGCTCTGTGAGGTGATGAAAAGCACCCCTTGTGCCCAGAGCACAGAGGATATCAAGGGAGTCCCACACGACACTGCTGGCATATCCAGCACTGGGGACTGAAGCAGGGGTTATGCATCTCTCCTCTACTTTCTGCCAGGCAGTCTCTTGTGCTCGTTCAGCCCCAGCTGCTCTGTGCAGTTAATCCCCCCCAGTCAGGGTTTTCAGTGGCACCATGTTATTAAAACATGTGAAAAACTTCTCCCATGCAGAAGTAGATGTGTCAGAATGGAAACATCTACTGGAGTGGAGGATGGAGATGGGTGGAGGAGGGACAGGCACGGAGGGTTCCTCCCCAGCAGCAGCGTTCCTGCCATTGCGTTGGGCTGAGCTGCGTAATATAGCTTACAGTTTAATTACAGGGGCTCCTTGTTGGTGTCATTAATGAGGCAACTGGCTTAATTTAGCAGAATAAAAATGGCTTTAATAGTGGAAACACTTTTGGCTGCTGGGTAATTGAGGGAAAAGAAAATGCGCTGTCTTCTCTTGCACTGAAGTCTACTTGTTTTGGGTTGCGTAGATCCAGACTTCTCTTTGTCTCCCACACCTACCTATCCCTTTTTAAATGCAGGAGCTTGTTCAGCACATGTACGTCCACGGCCTCATCTGTCATTCATGGGCTGGGACAAAATGGCAATGGTCACCTCACAAGCAAGGTCTCCCCAGTGCCTGCAGGAGTACGGGTAGAGTGTGCAAGACACAGTGTGTCCCCTCTTGAAACAGATGAGGAAGATGGATGGATGGAGGGAAGGAGCAGGAACTGAGACTTTGCTGTCACTCAATGATAATGTCCTGTTTTCGACGTGTGTGTGAGGTTGCTGGTGGGGATATGGTATGATGATGAGGAGCATAGCTGCTGTTGCAGGAGGAGAGTGGAGTGGTGTTGAGCCCAAGTCATGAGTGGGTTGGGTGTCAGCTGCCCTAGACATGGTCCATGTGAGCTCCATCCAACCCCTGTCCATACTCGACTCCTTTGAAACCTGGTCCAAAATGGCTTATCCCATGTCGGTCCCTGACAGTTCTTTCTAAAGACTGTTCTTGTGCAAAATAACAGCTTGTGAGTGATGGAGAATATGTCCCAGGGCAAGAAGCATTTTGAATATGTTCAAGAAGCACTAATGGCAGGTCTGTCCTGATAGAGACAGGCTCCTGTTTGTTTGCTGCTGAGAAATACATAGGGAAGACATTTTGCTTCCCTCGCCCTGTGTTTCCTCCATGTGTGAAGTGTTATTTTATTACAGGTGGAGCTGATGCCTAGGCTGATATAAAGGTTGTCTGGCAAGCTCCACTACAGGGCTGCTTCCACTTTCCTATAACTCTGTCAGGTTTTCATTGCTCAGGCTCAAGTTTTCTGTGTTGGGTGTCTGCTTCTGGCTGAGTTATTTATTTTCTTTATTATATCATTCTAGTTTCAAATAAAAACCTGCTCAAATGTTTGAGGTGGTGGCAGAGGGGGGAGGGCAGTGGGTTGTTGTGCTCAAACTAGAAATACTGGTGATGCTCCTGATATAAAGCAACCTGCTCCCTCCTTTTGTGGGGGGAGAAGAAACTTTGTCAAAGGATAGATTTTGCTTGGAGGGCTTGATTTTTTTGCTCTGGGTTGTGTCCTTATGTAGGCAGAATGGGTCTGGATCCAGTCAGAAGGGAGAAGTTTGGCAGAGGGTGTTTGGGAGTGGATAAAGGAGATGAGGAGCAACAGCTCTTGTTGAGACTCTGGGGTTGGGATAGGAGGATGTAAAAGTGGGGAAGATAATAGGAAATTTTGACATGGATGAAGAAACTGGGGCTGAGAAGTAATGGGGAGTGTCTGGAGAGCAATGGGTACTGTGGTTTAGCCTGCTGGGGAGAAGTAGATGGGTTGGGGAGAGAGTAAAAGGGGCTGGGCACAGGAGAGTGGGGGTTCTGGTAATGCGAGGGAAGGGGACTGGGACATGACAACAGATTTTCAGTCTTGGAAATAGTGATGGGAAGGCAGAAGAGGCAGCTGGAGATGGGAGAGGACTCGTATTGTCTGGGAGTGGCTTGATTTTCCCCAGTCCCTCCCTGTTCATGCTTTACAGAATAGGGGAAACTCAGTGCATGGAGCAGAGGTTTGAGCACGGGGGGAAGCTCAGAAGCACTGGCAGGATTTACAAAGCACCAGAGCTCAGAGCTTCTCCCATGGAGCCATAATTTAACCTCCTCGTGTGCATGTACTGTGATACTGTCTCTAATTACACAATCATGCACTATCTTCCCCAGGAAACTGCCCCATCCAGTGTGTAGGATGGCTCTATTCTGGAGAGAAATCAGTGCTGTGCCGTGAGGTTTCTCCATAGGAGCTCTTTATCTGTTGTGGTGGAAATCAGCAGACGTAGCCTTTCCATGTGGAAGCCCAATCCTGGCATCTCTGACCTTTGGGGTTTCGGTGACTGAAATGGTGTATTTTTAATGTGTGTTTACATAGACAGCCTCTTTCTGTCCCTGTGCTGACATCAGGGGCCTTTGCAATGGTCTGTTGCAAGGACCTTTCACATTTTCAAGTGTCAGAGATGTCTGTTTCTAACAACAAACACGTTCCTCCCTGTGTGTGTGTCGTGGCTGATCTGAAATGGAGCTGTTGGTGCATGTACCCCTGACCAGCCCTACAGAAGCTGATGGTCAGGTCGGATCAGACACTAGCTTTGTCTTTTGAGAGCAGAGTGCCAGTTGTGTGCAAAGGAAGACTCGTCTCCTCTTTGCCTAATATTTGCTGTGGTCTGTTGTCTGAGGGAGGGAGGAGGTGGTAGGAGTTGGTTTCCAGGGATTTCAGAAGCTGCACGCATCTGCCTGGCAAAGCTCCTTGCATTAGCGAGGCTGCTTCTTTCCTCCACCTCTCTGTGTCCTAAATTGTAATAACACGATCATGCTATTTTTGATTCCCTTATTTGTGTGGAAAGCCTGTTGGTTTTTTTCTCTTCTCTTTCAGAATCCAATTTTCTCTTGACATTTCTGCCTAATGTAGCAAAACATGACCTTTGAGAAAGGACATTCCAGCAGGATTCACTCCCTCCTCTGCATCTCTGCCTCTCCCCCACATCTTGCTGTCTCTCATGCATCCCCCTTTACGCTTCCTTCTTCTCTCTGGGTTGGGGGAGGGAATTTACTGCCTTGCTTTTCAGTAGCAGTGAGTTGCTCCTTCCCCTCCTACTTTTCATCTGTCTTTTAGCAAAGTTTCCAGGTGCTCAGTGCTCTGGGATGGATAAAGGGAGTTTTGCAGTATTTCCCTCCCCATACGCACTCAGTTTCACCTGCTATTTTTACTACCTTTCTAAACTTTATTGGAGGCTGGAAGCAGTTTGTCTACAGCCGTAGGAATGGTGGGATCTCAGTAATGTGAAATGAGGTACCTGTGGTTTGCCATGGTTTCCACAGCAGGGTAGTCTGGTGTGAAGCAGAGCCAGAATTTAATGATGCAGCACTGCATCATCATGGTGTTTGGACTCATTCTTCTGCCAGGCTTGTGGAGAGCCTATGGGATGATGGTTTGCTGTGTGCACTGCAGTGGCTCCGTCAGTCCTAATTGCAGAGTTTTGGGCTTTGCAGCATTACTTGGTGGCCAGGGGGACAGGACCAGAGTGGCTTTTCCCATGTGGGTCCCTGCGCTGTGCCCTCTCTGCATTTGCCCAGTGCATGTCTTGCCTTTACTGCAGCCTGGTCTACAGCGACAAATGCACAAATCCTGGTGCATTAGACCTGCATCAGCAGGAGCTGTTCCAGGATTTACTTTCTTGGGTTTAGCATGTTTCTGCAAATCAAACAGGGATTCTGTGCTGAGCCTGGCATGGCTGGACTGCCACTGTCACCTTTGTGCCACCTTGCTCCATATCGCCTCTCTGGCCAGCTGAGAGTTTAATGACCCTGCAGGTAGTTCATGCCTCTGGCCCTTCATCGCTCCTTCCATCTGCAGTCCCACATTGAGCTGCCCTGCCTTTCTGCAGCCCACCTGGGCAGCTTGTGATGGGAGGGAGGTGGCGGGGACAGGGATGGATACAGCAAAGGATGGGAGGCAGCACCTCCTGTGTCTTTGGGAGGCCAGCGTGTGTATGGGAGGACTTAGGTTTCTGCCAGACCTTGTAACCACCCATCCATCCCTTTGCTCACCCCATGGGCTGGTCCCTTAGTTGGTGGTTCTCAGGCTGGCCAGGCATCCCCAGGAAGGCTGCCAACTACAGAAGGTGTTTCATTACCTTCTTACGCTGTTAGACACACAGGGCTTTTCTCTTTGCACTCAGTCTGCCCCAAACACATTCCTTCCTCTTGTTTAGTATTTCCGTTGCTTTTACGCTCTTGCATCCTCTCTGGCTTTCAGCTGAAGAGGTGATGTGTGCTGGGCTGCAGAGCTCTCCCAGGTAGATGAGATTGATGCTTTTGCAAGTTTGGGCAGATGGAGAAGAGGGATGGGGAGCTGTTAGCTGCTGTAGCAGCGGTACCCCTGGGTGCAAACAACACACAGTCATGTACCGGGATGCTTTGAGCACGCAGCTACTGCAGATCATACGGTAACACCTTGGGTAATCATTGTGCTGTCATTTGAACCTGTCTGTTACTATTTTTAACATGAGGTTTGTTTGTAATTTTTTGTTCAGATTGAGATTAGACATGTTCTTTCTGCTTATGGTTGGTTGAGCTCCAGATTCGTGGGCAAGAATCGGGCATCTCTTAGTCTGTTTGGGTTGGTTTTTAGCATTGCTGCCATTTTCCCCCTTGGAAAAATAAATAAAATGAGAAACTTCCATTTAGGTTCATCCTCATTAAAATCTCTCATTATGAAAGCTAAACTTGGGTCCTAAGCTGCTTGACAAGCTCCCCGCTGAGGAGGACGATGAGCTCCGTGGAGGCGGTAGGGCCACATGCAGGAGGAATTACTTACCATGACTTTGTTTTCTTGTTAATTTTCAGAGACCTCTCTGGGAACCGGCTCACCACTCTGTCATGGCAACTCTTCCAGACCCTGCGACTCTTTGAACTGTAAGTCCCACCCTGGAATCACCTCCTGGGAGAGAAGGGGAGGCTGAGAGGAGGAATGGTTTCCAAATAGAGTTATTTGGAAGCCTGTGAATAATTACCTAGAACTCCAGTGGGCAGCACCATCCTTGGGAGGGTTATCTGGCTATGGGAGCACCAGAGCAGAACTGCTTCTCTTTTAACTTCACAGCAGCTGGCTAATTAACGTTGGGATGATGAACAAGTCATGCTTGGGGTAGTAAATGGTTGACTAACTCTGGAAATACTTACTAGGCCAGATTTTGAGTGAATCTTCTCAATACTTGATTCTCATCTGTTGCAGAAAAGGCCTAACTGGTTTTCTCCAGCTCATGGACATGCTCTATATGACACCCCTGTTTTTTAGGCAAATTACTCCCTTGCTCTCTAGCAATTGAGGCTTCTGTGTGGGAGATGAGATAGTGTCTCTCCTGGGGCGCTGGTGGCCTTCAGCCTGCTGAATTATTGATAGAGCATTCAGCATCGTGCTTGAAGAATAAGTGGACACGAAATCAATGGAGTGTTGCCCCGATGACCTGTTTTGTTGAATTTTAGAAATAGTTGTTTGTTAGGTATAAAAAAATATATATATGTAGGATTTGTCCCAGAGGATCCTGGGAAGCTCCATTCATTCTCACTGATGATCAATAGAGCTGTAAGCTAGAAGTGACTTATGAAAGAATAAAGACAGTCTTTCAAGTGGGAGTAAGTGTGTTATCACTGGTGCTACTGCAGTGTATTTTATTTCTGTCAAATTGCTAAATGAAAAATACTAATGGTGATGCTAGAAAATAGAGAAACGCCCTTCTGATGGGGGGATCTGGCTTGCAGAGTCGAAATGCTGAATTTGGAATTTATCGCCTCACTCATTACAGTCCTAAATATTTTTTCAAGCCTGGCTCAGGTTTCAAGTTTAATAGCATGAGTCATTTGTATTCTTAGACCTTTACTTATTGTCATTGCACTGTCTGGCAAAACTTAGATTGATGGTTGTTACCCAAGAGACACCCAAGAGTGGAGGAGCAAATGGGGCTGCAGTCCTGAGCTAGAGGCACTGGCAGGGCCTGGAGTAATGGTGAGCCTGCAGATTAATGGGAATACTTCCAACAGGGCTTGTTTTTATGTGGCTTTGTTTCATTTGGTCATATTTTGTTTCTTCAGGCATGTCCCAGGTCTGCCAGCCCAAGTCAGGCTCAAAAGACCAATACCAAACATAAAGGAAATTGAGATGCTGCTGTTTGGGCAGCAAAGTGTACTAGTCCCCAGCTGATGAAGATTACATCTGTATTGTCCTGCTATGGTGATCCTGACAGGGAAGCTGGTGTGCTTGGAGCTGCTTTGGTTGGTGTCCGCAGAGTCACTTGGGGCCAGTGCTCTGTAGCCTGGCAAATGGGAAGGAGCTGAATTGCTTGGCTTTGGAGCTGTTTTCCCAGAGCTAACAAGCCCTGACTGATGAAAGAAATAATGCATAGAGAAACATGAGACATTGCAGGGTTGGTTGGTAGGAAGAGGTGATGGGGTGGGAAAGTGGTGCTGATGTGATGCATGGTGTCCTGCAGGGAGGCTTGGCATTGTGTGGGGCTGGAGCCTCGGCCCAACCTCTTCTGCCACCAAGCTGTGAAAGGGGGGTTGGAAAACCACACCCTGACAATAGCTCCAATCATCACCTTAGACCTACAAATGTGAGTGCCTGCAGGGTCTGGCTTGCTGTTGGCTGGGCTGGAGTAAGAGCATGGACACTGATGCTTCCTGAGAAATGTTGCCCTCTGAGCTCCTTGTCACTAAGGACTCTCTCCATGTGAGCACAAGGGGAATGATCAGTACCAAAATAAGATGATGATGCTGTTCCCCAAAGTGTGCTGGGAGAGGGATGTTTTAGCTGATACCCACTGGGACATCAGTGTTAATGGGGCAGAGGGATGTGCCTACAGTGTCCTCCCTGGGGACATGAAACCATCCTGCTGAGCTTTGGATTTGTCTGGGATAAGACAGCATGGATGTGTAGCTTAAGCTACGGGCTCTGAGTAATCATTCACGTAAAGATGCTGGGAATCAAGCTAAAGGCATATGTAATCTACTGTGGGCTAGAAGGATGGGACCTGTTAATGAGGAAAAGCAAATACGTAAGATTGGGAGAAATTAGTCGTGGATATGCAAAAGTGGGAAATGCTGTATTTATTTTTTTTTTTTTAGAAATGCAGAGGATGGGTGAGTAAAAGACAGTTTTTTTTGGCACGCTGAGCTCCAAGGAGGTTTCCAGAATCTGGGAGGGAGACAGAATACGTGGCCCACATAAAGTGAGTGTGAAGCACTGCTGAAAGCTAGAAAGGGAGGTGCAGACTGACATCAGCCAAGGACTTGAATTTGAGCCAAAGCTCTCTGGAAAGGAAGAAGGTGGTGAGCAGTAGAGACTGATGCAGAGGCATCAAGCCATAGGGAAGCAGGCTGAGCAGCAGCATTTGTGCACGGCTGTGGAAAGGAAAGAAGACCCAAGAGACACTGGGCAAGAGTCTGCTCTTCTTGAGAGGGTTACATCTACAGGGACGGTTGGTGGGATAAGTGGGTGCAGATCTGCAGTGGTTCATCAGAGGCGCTTTATGTTGAGTTCCAGTGCTCCGGTACTACCAGATAATCACGTATCCAGAGGGAGGATAGTCACTGAAGGCAAAACTGACTTGCAGTGAGGCAGCTTGGAGCAGCAGAGAACACAGGAAGGGAAGCGATGAGAGGATCATCTCCAGGAGAGTGCTGGGAGAAGATGAACTACAAATGATGCAATGTGGAGATTGCCAGGGAGCACAAGACCTGACAAAGCCACTCATGGTGAACATGGAGGAGGATAGAGCAGAAGACTAATGGGAAGATCATGCCACGCTACGAGAACAGGCAGGTGGATGGGAATTTGGGACTTGAAACAGCTGCCTGGCTGCACTTGAGGCATATCAAGCTCAGGAAGATGGTATTGCTTTAAAGCACAGTTTCTTCTCTTGTTCAACAGAGCTGAGATTTTTCCCCCTGCTGACTCAGTGAAGAAAGGATGGCAAAAATGAGGCACACTTCCAAAGAATATTATCTCCTTTTTCCTCCTGGCCAGAAGCAAGGCTTGGAATGGTTTCCACTGACTCCAGCCTGAATTCCCACAGCATGGGCTGACCTTGACCAGCAGGGCTCGGGCTAATGTGCACACAACACTCCGAAGTCTGAAGTTGAGTGTGCACAGGGATGCATCTGACACATGCAACAGCTCATAAACATTGGACTTAGAGCCTTTCTTATCCAGAAGTCACAGCTGGTTTCCTCTGTCATGTCCTTGGCTTCCTTTGTCATGTCCTCAGAGAGCTTAGGGCTGACATTTCAAGAAATTCCATCCCAGAAAGACCTAAAACTCTGGATCCAATTACATCTTTGGTTGTATAAGACCTTGTAGTCCTGAACATCTTGCTGCTCTGCCTGGCCCATGAGCATTTCTAATATCAGCAGTCTCTGCTAGCTTGCTCTGCAGTATGTTTCTGTGATGCTATAGCAAGAGGCTTTGGTGGGGATGGGGCACAGCAGTGTCTCTGTTAATGTTCTGAGTCCAACTTAACATCGTTTGTGCCTTTAGCTTCTAAACTTACTGCCGCCAACAGTCACACTAATAGAGTTGTAGCTAGACAGTGGGTACTTGCTTGCTCTCTGCATTAGCTAATCCAGCCATCGTGTGTCACTGCCTTTCTGAGTTCTTCCCTTTCTATCCCATTCCTTTTTGGCAGGGGCTTGGAAATAACAGTTCTGACTGGACTGCCAAGAGAAGTCCTGGTTTGGGGAAATAAATAGAAATGGAAAACAAAAATAGATTTTGTTCCCTCTCTGCCGGACGCTCTTTGGTTCTCAAGCTTAGGGAAGCGGTCTCGGTCCCGAGGTAGAAGAGTGTTATAATTGCAAGTGTATGAAACCTTGGCAGCAATTTTATGTGAATCGAAACAGACAGGAAAAGTGTGGCAAGGATCTCCACTGCCCTCTGAGAGAGGCTTTAGCTGCAGATAGCTTTGCTTTAGCTGTTGAGTGGGGAGGTGTGGAACAGGGCATGTGAATCATTTAGCTGCCTAGCCTGGAAAAAAACCTGCTCTGTGTGTGTGTGTGTGAAGTTCTATCTGTCCCAGTACACATGGGAATGATGACGGCGTCCCTTCCTGTGCTGGTCCACCCTGGTGTAGGCTGCCCAGGCAGTTTTGGGAGGTAGTGGGTACAGCTTTCTGTGAGGGGAACAAAGCTGGGCTCAGCAGCATCCCTTTCTCTGAACACCTGACTTGATGCTCAGATGGCTTTAGAGTTTCAGCTCTGTCATTGTCCCCTCAACTGACAGGGCAGGGCATGGTTGTCACAGTTTTCCTCTGTCCCAAACACAGGTCCTGCAGTGTGCCTGCTTCCCAGAGCACACCCTGCTGCAGCCCTGTGCTTTGCTGGAGGCTGGTGCATGGCTCTGGTTCATGTGCAGGTTTGGTCCCTTTTTGGGCCAGCTCCTTGGTGCAGAAGCAGCTCTGCTTGTGCAGAAGGACCCCAGCTGTGATACTTGCTATTGCTCATAGTTGTTTTCACTTTTAGTGGGGCCTTCAGAAGGTGTGGGAGTGCAGAGCTCCTGAGTGCCTGTAACCAAGAGATGCTTTGGCAACATTTCCAGGCTAAGGCTAGAAAAAAAAAGTAAACCCTTTTGCCCTTTGGGCTTACTTGTCCTCTCTGGGAGTTAGCTGTGCCAGATACAGCTCATGAGAAGGAGCCCCTTGCCTTAATTCTCACTGTGGTGCTGCTGCACTTATTAAACACACAACAGCAATAAAGACCTTGGCTGCCCCACCATGCTTTTCAGCACCAGATTTTGCCCTTCACACTGTGGTGGGACACATCTCCACAGCACACGATGGTGGCTTCTGACCTGACAGTGGGTTTTGGCCAAAGGGTGCCTTGTGATCCCTAAGGCACTTCTTGCCTTGCAGAGAAGAGAAGGTGCATTTGTCTTGGCAAGTAGAAAGTTGTTGTTAGTGGAGATGTGCAGAAGTTGTGGGAGGAAGAGCTGGAAAGAGTTGCAGCTCCTAATGATGCCTGCAAGGGGATCATAGAATAGTTTGGGTTGAAATGTCATCTAGTCCAACGCCCCTGCAATGAGTTACATCAGGTTGAAATGGGGGTCTAGGTTTTTGGGCAGTGTGAGTGTGGAAATCCCTATGCACTTCTCTGGAGAGCTGGCTGGCATGGCAGGCAGGCTGCAAGCAAGGAGAGATGGCATCTGGCATATGTCAAGAGTGCTTTTGCAATGCATGTTAGTGAAAATGGGTGCACACATCTGTGCCCCTTACTACCCATGGTGACATGCCAGCTGCTGGTGGCACATCCAGCTGATGATGGGAGTTAATTTGTGCAAAAGCCCCTGTGGGGGTCTCGATTAGAGCGAGTTACATCACTGACGGTGGAGCAGGTCGTGGGTAGGTTCTGTTCTGAAGCCCATTGCTCCTGTATTATTCATGAGCCCTCATGAATTAGTAATGGACTGGGAAGGCTGCCGTCTATTACTTACGGAGTTGCCTTTAAGTGCTAGGACAGCAGCTCTCCCCTGCAGCCTCATTTTGTGAGGATATTTGCAGCAGAACAGAATTTCTCCCCTGTTGTCTCTGAGCTCCCCCAGCTCCCTATTGGGTCCCAGGGTACAAGTCCTGTTACCTGATCTGCTGTTAGCTGAGTCCATGGTTCTTAGCATGTGCCATCCCATGTCCTGCTGATAGCAGTGACCTTAGGAGAATCCGGAGGAGAACATGGATTCATGGCCATGCTGAAGAGGATGCAAAGCCTGTGTGAGACACTGGCAGTAGCTGTCATAGCATGCAGCTAATGCCTTGTCATTTGAATTCCACCAAATCACTGCGCTAATCTGCTCTGGTCTGTTAAATTTAGTGCTTTGGCCTTTGAGTTGCTTGTCTGAGCTTTGTATCTGCGTTGCAAAGGTTTACATGCTTTTGACAGGCAAGGAGTGAACTAATGAAAAGCCACAGAGTGAAGATTAACTGAGTGTTTGTTCTCGGAAAAGAAAAAAAACCACAACAAGTCAGATGGCATCGCATTCTATGAGAAGATTCAAAGTGGCATTGTTAGGGTTCAGGTTTAACACCCCTTGATGCTACCAAAAGATCCTTTCTCCTCTTCCTACTTTTGCAGTACTGTATTGCTGTAATAGGAGCTGCACATGTTTGGAAGGTTGTTTCCAAATCCTGTTACTTGGTGGAATTAATTTTGTAAAAGCAAGCATGAATTTTGCAGTAACGCATGGAACAGACCAGAAAAACAGGGGGATCTAGATACTGTGTGAAGCAATGGGTTGACCTTTGGAGATGTCTGTCTGTTTTGGGGTGACTGAGCTCACCTTTTGCAGTGCTGACTCCTCTGCTCTCTATTTTCTTTTGCCCCACAATTATGTGGGGAGATATTTTGTTTGGTCAGACTGTATCTCCTGTTTTGCTCAAGTTTGCAAGCCGTGTTGGTAACTCAGTCTGTCCTGGCTGAGCACTGGACTCTCTTCCCTGCTGTGACTTGCCCTCCTTGCATCTTCGCAGAGAGCTGCAGGGCTTTAAAAATGTAAATGAAATGGTTAATAGGTTGGAAAATCAATTATAATAAACATTCCCAGTATATAAAGTATGTGTAAGTGTGGTTTAAATGAAGTACATTAAAGGTAGTGCTTTTCTTCATTTCTCCTGGCCAGGTCAGCAGGGTCTCAGTGCAGTGCTGTTTGATTTGATTAAAATGCATGATATCCTGCGCATTAGCTCATGTCCTGGGTCACCAGGAGGCTGTGTTTGTACAAGGTACTCGAGAGGATTGCTGCCAGCTTCACTGAGTGCTTGTGGGGACTGGAGGTGTGTTTTGCCTAGCAGGGTTTTGAACCCTGCTGAAGTGGGATTTGAGGATGTCAATCTATATTATAGGGTAGTGGGGAGCTACTTGCTCCTTTGCTGAGGGATGGATGCTTTGGGTGTCTTGATGGCTGCGGGATCGAGCCGCAGATGTGCAGATCTTGCAGTGAAAGATGTTGCGTGTATCCATGTGCTGCCCTGGGAGATGTAAAATCTTGTGTGCATGCATGAAGGAGACTGTAAACACATGGATATATAACCTCTGTTGCTGTGGAGGTGGAAGAGAGGTGAATAACAAGTGGCAGAAGACCCCAGGCAAATAACATGGAGGAGACTTCCCCTTAGCTCTAAAGGGATCCTTGTACCTGCATGATGATTGTTCTCCTGGGGGGGAGCCTGGAGCCAGGCAATAGCTCTGCTCATCCTTCCCTATCCCACCATCCTTTCTCACGCTCTCTCTGCCCATAGGAGACTAGAGAGGAACCTTTTTAACTGCAGCTGCGACATCCGCTGGATCCAGCTCTGGCAGGAGAAGGGTGAGGCGAACCTGCAGTACCAGGACCTCTACTGCATGAACATGGATGCAGCCACCATCCCTTTGCATGAGATGAACATCACCCAGTGTGGTAAGCACTCCTGGGGCCAGGCATATGGGAAACCAAGAGGATGCTGGGAGGGAGCCCTGTCCTATCTGGCATCTCTGGTTCAACCCTTTGCTTGGGTAACCTGGTGTAGGAGAATCCCACCATGTGGTCAAGAACAAGACAATTGAAGGTGAAGGGGGTAGTTTGCAGATTAAAGGTAGAAAATCTGGTTAAATGTGGGGCTGCTGTTTCTGTATGTGTTGAAGGTATTGGGTTATCTGGGGCATTTCCTTCACTGTAATGCTGTTGCTTGACAGAGTGTCTGTGATGAGTCTATGTGATGTCTTGAAAAGGTGGTGTGTATTTCATGTTGCTTTTGGTATGTCTAACAAATCCTAGAAGCAGCATATCATTAAAAGACACTGCCACTGTATCTTTCGTAATTACTCTTAGGAAATACACATCTTTCTTCATTTTCTTTTGTTTTATTTTTTGAATTGAAAGCCCATATCTGTAGGGAAGAGGCAGGAGTGACTTTTATATGTCTTTTTGTTGCCTGTTGATGTTTAAAAGACTCCAGTGGCCCCAGGAGCAACATGAGGCATGTTCAATAGTTATCCCTTTCTCCTTCACCTTGTTCACACATCAGCTGCCTGTTCAGTGTCAGGTTTTGCTCTGCTGTTGCCATTACTGGAAAGCATCCTTTGCAGAGTGAGGCGAAGGAGTTGTACCTTCAGCAGAACAATTAAACTGCCTATATGCAAGCAGCTCTCACACTCAAGGGCTGGGAAAAAGGAGGAAAACCAGAGGTTTTCTTTCCTTTTCTAGGAATTTGGGTTGGTTTCTTGCAGCAGTCGAAGACAAACAGCACGCACGTTTGGATTCGCATGACTTTTAAATTATTTTCAAGTTCATGATGTCCCTTTATTAAGCTCTGGAAATTGGCCAAAGTGTGCTCGCATGTGGATGAACTAATAAGATTTAAGAGAGTGCTGTAATTTCCTCCCTGCATAGGATGAATAATCCGCAAGGATTAAAGGGAGGGAAAAATCCTTAGGGATCAGGGGCAGGAGGAGAGGTGGCTCCATCAGTGGTGGTGTTAGACTCTAGGGGACAGCCGGGTGCTGATTTGGGAACACGAATGCGCTGGTGTGCAGGGTGAGAACATTCTCTGACCTTCTAGTCTCACGAAGGGCAGGGAGCCGCACTGATCTGCCTTCCTCCTGAGGAGAGTCTGTCTGTTCGAGCACTAAGATGACTCCAGGGATGTTGTCTTTGTCCTTTGGTGCTGAGGGATGGCGTGGCTTGGTGTGGCCATGTTTGATACCAGCTCAACCTGGAGAGAACATATATTGTCCCCCCCCATCTCACTCTTCACTAATTCCTGCCACCTATGCAGCTTTGCTAGGCCACCGCCTCCTTTCTTCTGGCATCCCTCCAAATCAGTACAATGTTGTTTCCTTCTTGGTGTCACTCTTTGGTGGCAATGAAAGGATGTGTATCCCCTTCCATGGCTTTGGGCTGGTGTGATGGATGCTGCTGCCCTATAATAGACCACTGGTCAGTATTTCCTCTGCTCTGCCTACCCAGTTTGCTTCTATGAACAGCCCAGAAAACCTCTCCTATGCAAGAAAGCTGCCTGCCCTTCTTGAAACCAGTGCTGTCTTGTTCCATGTTGAAAGATGTTTGGTGCCCATGGAAGCAAGAATGGAAGTGGTGTAAATCAGAACCACCATAAATCAGTGAATGTCTCTGCCACCACTGGGAAGAACAAGGGTACCTTTTATTAGAACTGCAGTTAATATGAGGATGCATCCTTGGTCATCTTCTCTTGATTGTTATATATTTGAGGGACACTTTCCTCACCTGGAGTGCTGGGTGCTCTGTGCCTTGTCCCTGGAGGTGGGAACAATCTGGATCCTGTACCAGCACATGCAGCTTTCCCATCTGCCCTCAAAAGCAACTCCTGTGGGAGTTTAAGAGATTGGGATGGGTGTAGTGTGAAGGGAAGGGCAGCCGGAACTGGACACCAGCTTTTGGATTCAAATGTGATGTGAGGCTCTTTTCATCTAGCACATCTCCAGTGTCTACATTTTCCCCATCTCCAAGAATCTCCCACTTCCCTCAGTAAAGCAAGGCCATGCTGTTGCCTCCTTACTGTTTATCTCAGGATGCTGGTTTGGGAACAGCTTGTGAGGATCTGGGTCCACACGCATGTCCTGTGGCTGGTGGTAGCAAACACTGCTCCAGACCTGAGCACTTTGTTTTCTGGCTCTTCTAGACCTCCCTGAGATCAGTGTGAGCCATGTGAACCTGACAGTGCGGGAAGGGGAGAATGCTGTCATCACCTGCAACGGCTCAGGCTCACCGCTGCCTGACGTCGACTGGACGGTGGCTGATCTCCACTCCATCAACACACACCAGGTAGGGGCTGCAGGACCTTAGTGCCTGATGTGGCAAGGGTAAGGCAGCTGCCATGGACTCCCCAGGTCTGTGAATGCAGGGCAGAGGGTCAGGCAGACGGTGGAGGCTGCTATGAGAGACGTGAAATGGTTGTATCTATAGGAAAATTGAGGTCATACCCTTATCCACATGAGAACCTGGGAACTACCTGAAGGCAACAAAACCTTCCCTCTGTATGGCTGAAAAGCCAAGATGGGATAGTTTCATATTTCAGTGCTCCCTAATTGAATTAACTCAAGTCTCCTCTAATGAAACTGTTTATGGAGGTGTCTGCTGGAGCTGAAATAAGCTTTTCAAGAGGCAAGCTATGTTTATCAGTGCTACAGCCCTGGGGCTCTCCCCCTCCTAGTGGTTGCTCTTATAAGATGTGGTGTATTTAATCAGGTGAGGAAATACCTCACTTCACCCAAATCCCAGTTATCCTTGGATTTTGGAGACCTTCTCACGTCTTATGCTGAAATTGATCCTTATTGTCTGAGAGCAGTAGCAGGAAGGAGAAGAGCCACCAAACACTGATTTCTGTGTGTATTTCTCTGGGATTTTTAGACCAACCTCAACTGGACCAATGTTCACGCCATCAATTTGACCTTGGTGAATGTCACCAGTGAGGACAATGGATTCCTGCTTACCTGTATCGCCGAGAACGTGGTGGGGATGAGCAATGCCAGTGTACTGCTCACCGTCTACTGTAAGTAGCAGTGAAGAGACCTCGGTCTTATAGAGGCTGGAGGGCTGCCCTGGGAACTATTTGAATGCATGGCCACTTTCTACCTGTGACATACTGGGTTTGTGGATGATTAGGAGCTGAGCTCAGTGAGGAGGAGGTGGATCCTCACACAGCTCTTTTTAAGTGTCAGTATGTTTGCTTTCCTGCTGCCTCTATTAATGCAGAAATGAACACTAGAGCAGGGGAGGAACAGCAGTACCACACTGGTGGTAGACATCTCTCCACCCATCTGTTGGAAGATCCAGCAGAGTAAGAAAAAGCCACAGAGGGACTACCACTGTTTACAAATACAGAGTTGCTTGCCCTGATGCTATGTGAGAGGTTAAATGTTACACTTGCTAAAGCCAGTGTAAATCTTGCCTCTTATTTCAGGGATGCTAGAGCTTCCTCTCAGATCTGTTCCGACAAAGTTAAACTGCAAATGCTGTGTAAACATGCACATGTCAAATTTCAGCTGTTCACTTTTAGCTGCAAGTAGTTAAACTTTCTTTGTGCTTTCTAATATAACTTAACACAAACCTGACCTTAAGAGGAAGTTTACACAGCTTTTTGTTCTCAGGCAGCTGAGATTTACTATATGTTGCTGCATCTGTAATATTTGCCCTTACTCTGTAGTTTGAAAAATCCCCCAACCTTGCCAGGTAGAGCAAAGACCCATGTGATTAGTCTGGGTGAACCCACAGGTATTGGGTGTCCAGTGCAGCGCAGGAGCCATGGGGTCCTATAGACAAGGTAGCCACAAGGGATAGGAAAAAGAAGAGGAGATGCTTTACTGCTTTCGTCTTCCTCCCAATAAGTACTATTGATGGATTGAAGAACAGAGGTGATTAAAGTTCACATCAGCTCAGAGGTCATTAGTCAGCAGGTGTATGGGTTTTGCACTGTGTTTTAGCATCTTTTCCTCCACACCTTAAACAGCACCATGACAATGACTATATTCACCCGTTTAATCCTCTAAGCTGTGATGGTTGCTGCTCCCTCTGCTCCTGCTGCCCAGACCCATCACTCAGGCTGCAATTTCACATTGAAAAGATCTGGGTTTGTGCGTGTAGGTGGCTGCCTGTTTTGAATCCTCCTTGACAGGAAGATGTGAACAAACCACATGCAGATCTAGGCTTACAAGTGAATAGGAGCTGGCTGGGACACAGCTGTGTGGTTCAGGGTAGTTGGGTGCTGGTGGGAGAATTTTGCACAGCTCCAACCAGCTCTTCACCTTCTTCTCTTCTACCACTTTCACTGCCTAAAAAAAGTCTCCGTCTTTTTCCTAAAGATGGTTGAAGTTGGTACATTGTTTTTATTCCTTGTGGATGTCCCATGGGTTGTCTTTGTGTCTGGATGGTACCAGGAAAAGGAGAGGTTTAGGGAAGACCTTCATCTTCTTGTGTCCTCTCTTTGCTCGATACTGTGTTCTAATTCAAACCTTGCCAGCCTTGTGGTTTGGGGCCTTACATGTAGGTGTTGTAAACGAGGTTTCAGAAGCAATTGCAGAACAACATTTGGATTCTTGGGGTGTCCCAGGGGGAAAACAATGCATATGCAATAAATTGCAGGTGGAGTCTCTGCTTCGTTTTTCCCTCTCCCTCTCTAGTCCCTTTAATTAAAATACCCCTGGAGGGTGCTCGGCGGGTGAGAACTCCTTTGGGATATTCAGGCAGTCAAAAGCCCCAAGGACAGGCAGTCGCTGAGGGATGTTTGCTTCCACAGCTGTGCAATCCAAAACTGCTTAGTGTGACTGGAGAGTTCCCATGGGCGCTTTGCACATGTGTACTGTAACAGTGCTGCGTCTCCGTGTTCTCCATAATGGGGACAGGAGAGCTCCCCATCATCCCTTGAGGGAAGGAGAGCAGCAGTAGGTGTGTGGACTGGGCAACTCCAACCTTAATTTCTTCTGGGCTGGTGAAAGGACCATCCCTGTTGTTAATTTTTACCCCTGTTCAGAAGCCAGAGAGATCTGGCTGTGGTTCAGATCCTCCTCCTGGAGGGTGTGGAGTGGTTCTTGTGATTTAGTGCTGCTTCTTTGCAGATATCCACGGGAAGGGTAGAAGGAATGAGGGATTTTGGAGACATTTTCAATAATCTTAATTTCCATGGTGCTCAGAGACGTGATGTGAGTGGAGGTGTGCTGTGAGCCTGCCCTGTTTCTCTCTGCTAGATCCCCCTCGCATCCTAACTCTGGAGGAGCCGGTGCTACACTTGGAGCACTGCATTGCATTTGCAGTGCATGGGAACCCAGCTCCTACCCTTCACTGGCTGCACAACGGCCAGGTCCTGCGGGAGACAGAGATCATCCACATGGAGTTTTACCAACAAGGGGAAGTGTCTGAGGGCTGCCTGCTCTTCAACAAACCCACTCACTACAACAACGGCAACTACACGATTGTGGCTACCAACCAGCTGGGCTCAGCCAACCAAACCATTAAAGGACACTTCCTTGAAAAGCCCTTTCCAGGTAGGATATTCAGTTTATCTCATTAGGGTTGCTTGCAAACCAAAGATCGTACTATGGTCCCACCAGTAATCCTTGCACCTAGATAAGGCCTTGACAACCTAAGTTGGTCTTTGTCTGAGCAGCAGGTTGGAAGTGATCACCTCTGGAGGCCTGTTCTGATGAGCATGTTTCTCCTACTCATGTGTACTTTGGTGTCATAACTCTTAAGTGCAGAGACAGACATACACTGGTTTAGATATTTTTGTTGTGTAACATATTCTACAGCGTATTGTTGGGCTTTATTTTAAAATCTTTAGGGATTTCAGTGGGAATAGGATGTAAGCTTGGTCAATTACTTTGGATCTCTTCTGGGGTACCCCAAAGAGGATGCCCAGTTTTTTTGAGAGAAAGTATTTTTCTATGTGGTTGCTAGTTATAAGCTAAAGAAATCCCTTTGAAGTGATGCAGCTTTTCCCTTTTTTTCCTTCTAGCTTGCAGTTGTGAAATGATTAAAGCTGGATGCAGCCGTGTCAGGATTGTTTTCTTTCTGAATATGACATGTGCAATGCCAGAATGACAGGTCTACAAAAGATGTGATGGCTCAGTTAGTTGCTTTGAATCAGTTTGCTGGGATTTCTTAACTGATTGCTTGGAATTCCCTGCTGTACTCCCAAGCGATTCAGAACTTAACTGCAAAATAACCCCACAACGTTTGAGGACATGAAGATCCAGCTCTGGGGAGAGCAGTAGAGACTTTTGTGGTGACACATCCACTCTATAGGAGCGTAGAGGGTCTTGGCCTGCTCTCTGACATTGCAACACCATGCTGGCCATCATGGAGTTAACCTGTACATGCTGTTGCCTTTAGGAATGATGCCATGAGAAAGTGGCAGCTCTAAATTGGCCCTTGCAGCCCAAGAAAACCCAGCAAAATAGGGCGTTTGCTAAATATAGAAAAATACCGACGGTACTCTCATTTATTATTTATATCACACCATATATGTACATAGAGTTTTCCCACAGGTCAAATATCATAAATGCAAACCCAAATCTCTGCCTTGAAGATCTGACAATTGAACAAATGAGCTGATATGGATGGGAGTGGAAAATTTGTATTCTGGCTTCAAGGATGATGCCCTGTTTGGCTATCTGACCTATTTATGTTTCCTTCTGTCAAGGCAGAAGAGCAGCTTACCAAATGTAGGTGGGTGAGGAGAGGTGCACAGGTTTGCAGTCTCAGCTCTGTCAGGTCCCACCTTTGTGGTTCGATTTCCCCGTCTGTGAATTGGGGACAGCTCTTAAGTAGGTGCTGGACCTCCAGAAAAGGACGTGAATCTGCTGTTCCAGAGAGCTGATCTTGGAAATGGATCTGAGCTGTGCTGTGAAGTGGGAAGGCACATGGATGTTTGAAGAACCTCTTTTGTCAGAGGCTCTAGGAGAATGGGATTGTGTGAAATATATGTAAGATATTGCACCTTCACCCATACCTTGTGTGAGGTGTTGGTGTAGAGAACTTATTGACCCTGAACCATCTCTCAACAGGAATCGACCCATTTATTTGTTCTGATCCAAAGTCCCAACCCGTTCCTCACCCTGGCAGACCCTGTCAGCCCAATGCATGATGTAATTTACTTTTCCTTGAAGATGATTGCTCCTTCTGCTGCCACAGTTGACATTAACACTCAATGCAGCCGATGTTCATAACTTCCCATTTGAAGGTAGATTCCTCCAGAAAATGCCACAGATTGAAGATTCCCCAGCGTGGTTCATTCAAGAGGCTTATTGCCTATAGCTCTTCACACGTGCTAGGGTTTTGCTGTCACTACCCAGAATAAGATTATTAGACTTAATTAATGGAAGCTAAATGCCTTGAAGGCCTCCTGTCAACATAGAAAAGGACCTGTGACCACAGTTTTTAGAACCCCCTGGTCTGCAGCATCTTGGTACTGTACCAGCTTGTCCTTCCCAGCTTGAGAGGAGAAAGATGCTGTTGGAAGCTATGTGGGAGCTGGGAGATATGCCCCACACCATATCCTGATTCTCTGTGATGATATTGCTCTAGGAACCAGGGTAGTAGCTCCCAGAATAGATTTGTGTCATATCCTGGATAAAAGTCTCATTGCATGTTGTCACTGGCATCTCTACTGCAGGCTACCATCTCCTTGTTTATTCCACACAGGTTAACATACTTACCTCCCAGTTATTTAGGAACGTCTCACTCACTTGGGAACTCAAATTATGGGAGATACTTTGGCTAAGTTTTATACTTCACAAATTAGGGTTTGGTGGGAAAAACTTTTTTGTGAGTTTCTGTTGAATTTGTTTAGTCCAGCAGAGAAAAATGGAAAGGGGAAAATGTAGAAGCAGCGAGAGTCTTGCAACTAGACTGCCTGAATAACGACGACAAGTCTACAAATGAAAAATTTCTTCCTCTTTTTTTCTTTTTCTCTTATTTTTTCCCCTTGCTAGAAAAGTTCTTCTGCTTGACTTGAAACAAAAATATTATTCCAAGTTTTTTTCCTTCGGTTTGGAAAGCCACATTTGTCACCCGGGGGTTGTTTTATGCTTCCCTTCCAAACCTCACCCATACTTCAGCATGAATGTTTCAGCATCCTTCCAGGAGCTTTCTGTCAGCAAAGCTGTGTAAACTCCAGTTAATGTCGTGCTCAATTTCTTGCATAGGCGAGTGAATCGAAAGCTGACGTTATTCTCATGCTATGTAAACCAAGTGTCACCGAGAGCTTTAGACCTCATTGTCTGGGGCCTCGGCCACCTTTGGAGCTGAAGGAGCTTTACTGAATAGACTCAAGCAGTCAAGATGCTGACAGCAGGGACTAGCATGGCTGTCTCTGGCAGGAGGCCACAGCTTCCATGTCCAGTTCAGATGCTATTAGATTTTCTGTATGGCTCATGATAAGGAGGTCTGAGGAGACCCACTGCCCCAAGCTTGGCTCTCCCCACTGTGAGCTGATCCTCATCCTTGTAGGACTTTGCACTTGGGTGAGCACTACCACGCAAGGTAAAATCTCCTTCTCTCTGCTGCAGTTTTCCTTGTGCTCTCCAGCATATCCTGATGGCACACATGCTGCAATTTCCAGTTACGTTTGCCCAATAGGACAAAACATGAAAAGTTGATTTCCTGGGCTCTTTGGGGTGGTGGAGTGTGTCTGAGGCGCGTCGGGAATGTGACCACTCTCCCTTTGCTGTGCTGCTAACTGTGTTGCTTCTCTCTTTGTCCTTTCCACAGAGAGTACGGACAACTTTGTCTCAAGTAAGTGTCTCCTTGTCCTTTGCACACTGTGGGTGTTTTGGTTTTGTGACTTAAATACTCCTGGAGGAAAAATCAGGAAGCCAAAAGCAACTTGGTGGAGGTTGCACAAAGCCCTGGCTTCCCTGTGCATGAGCCAAGATAGCTGGGGAGCTTTTGACCAGCTGGGTAATCTCTAGAGCCCTGGAGATGTTAAATTCTCTCTAGTGATGTCCTGAAGAAGGTCCTATAGGAAATGATGGTTGGTTGGGATGTAGCAGAAGGTGCCTTGACTAGATGTGGGCTGGCCAGTCTCCAAAGCAGTTCTGTTGTCATGGCCCATTCATAACATGCTCCTGCCATGTGGATGGTGACAAGAAGAAGGACTCAACTTCTGTAGTGCTTCCTCAATAGGTTCTTCTTCCACCCCACCACACCATGCAAGTAACTCTTTCTTCAGATCAAGTTCTGCTGGAGTCGGTCTTGGGTTTTAACCCTACTTAGTCTCTATCTGAGAGCTCTAAGAGATGACTCAGGGGTAGAGGCCACCCACCCAAGGACATCAGGCACCCAAATGTTTCTCATTTGTAATGTTAGAGTGACATCAATGTTGTCCTGGTCTGTGTTTTCTCTGCTGCTGTGCGTAGGGAGCTATCTGATGTTTGATTCTGGTGCCTTCTGAAATAGAAAGTTGCAGCCTTTGTTTAGGGGTGAACTGGATCTTGTTTGGTCAGGCACTGCAATTAGGGATGTACCTTGGGAGTCCCATGAGCATCATGTTAAATCTTCTGTCTTTGGTGTTTTGGTTTCAGTCGGTGACTATGAAGTGAGTCCCACCCCACCAATCACTGTGACCCACAAACCGGAGGAGGACACTTTTGGGGTGAGTCCTGTCCTCCTCTGCAGAATTGTTTTGCATGCGTTTCTTGTTGTTGATGACTCAGTATTTAGATTCCCGTGCTGTTTTGAGATATTTGCAAGGAAAATCTCTTACTTTATGACTCAAGACAACAATCAGAAGGATTTTATGGCTTGTGTCAGGCAAGTAAAATACTGACATGAACCATCTGATCCTCTTGGGTCTGCAGTGTGGAACCAGGGAGCTCTTTGAAAATCAGGCATCCTGTGAAGTAGCTGTTGGCAGGGTCAGAAATTCTGACTCTAAAAAAGTAGCACCCAGAGAACAAACAAACAGGCAATTGTGTGCTTCAGACTATTATTGATCTGTTAAGTTTAGCCCTGTGAGGGACTCAGATTTAGCTTGGTTCAATTCTGTCAGTGCCAGTTTGCCCTCTTTCCTGCTCTGCAGGGCATGCCAGAAGTGAAAAAGAAAGCCAATAGCTTGTCAAATCTCAACACTGTCTTTCTTCTGTCAAATCCAGGTAGCTAAGGACAAAACCAGTGTATATAAGTGTTATACAGGGGGGAATTAGCACATTACACAGTTGCTCTAATTATGTGTAAGTGTTCAGATCTTGAAACCCACCACGTGTTAACAGAATGAACAAAACTCAATCCACCTTTGTTTTGGTTCTCATCCAACTGAAAATCTCCTATAACTGAAATGAAAGCTTTGAAAAGTGGGACTGTAGTAATAATGTGCACAGATTATTAAATATAAAGCACAGCAAACAAGCTGGGGGATCAAAATAGAGTATAGTAAAATAAAACACTTTGAAATATTGTAACTAATGTACCAAGGGCATGGAAAGGGGTTGCAAAATGAAATTACTTTTTCTTGGTTAAATGATGTATTTTCTATTACAGCAGAATACAGCTTTATAAAAGGAAGTGAAGTCTAAATGCACCACAAGACCCAGTACAGGAGAACAATTGGACAGATGCCAAAGAAATTGTTGTTTACATCAATGCAATAAAAGTATCTCGAGCAAAGACTTGAAGGAATAAATATTCATAAATATTAAAATAAGCTTGGGATTGTAAACCCTTTAGGGCAAGGAGATTTTCTTTCCTCTGCTTGTACGCTGCCACAGTGGAACCATGGTTCCAGTGAAAGACTTTGGACATTGTTTCATTATAAATATTTACTACTAAAATTATAATAAAGAGGGAACTATTAGAGGGGTTTTTGAAAACCACATGCTTTAAGGGGGGGGGAAAAAGACATTTTCTACTTAATTTCTTCTAATTTCTTTCTGTGTGTGGTGTTTTTCCTCATTCTTTGGCTTAAGGGATGTTTGAATGGAGACTGAGCTGCTCTTTCTAATGAATTTTCTGCTGCTCCTGTCTATTCCCAGCTCAGGTTAGTATAGCTTTAGTGTTGTGACATCATGGTACAGTGGCGATGCTGGAAATAGACACTTATGGTGAGAGCCAGGCATTGGAGCAGAGGTCCTCCTTCCCTGCAGGTATACGGAGTGAGGGACTGGTGCCAAAACAGCATCACAGATAGGGAGACCCCAGAGCTCCCAGTCCTGAAAACAGCTTGTGATGCTTCCAAGCTATGCCAGAGCCCTCTGCTTTAGCTTGTGTTTTCTTCCACAGCTGATATCCACAGGGCTGCAGCAGATGGTATGAGCCTACAGAAAGGTTAACTTGGCAAGGAGGTGCTGTATTTCTAATCTAGATTCCTAAATTCCTCTGTCTTGACTCTAAGGCTTTTTCCTTTCAGGTTTCCATAGCGGTTGGGCTGGCAGCTTTTGCTTGTGTCCTCTTGGTCGTCCTCTTTATTATGATCAACAAGTATGGCCGGCGGTCCAAGTTCGGGATGAAAGGTAGGTGCAGTTGCTTTCCTGTTACAGGAGGCACCTTCCAGGATTGCCCGGCTCTTATAGCACACATGGAAAGGTGTTGTGGTTTTATTCCTACGTTGTCAGCATTGGTGCAAAGCCTTCTGAAGAGAATGTTATCCAGACCTCTTCCATTTGTTGAGAGAGTAATGGAGATACATAGGCTGGTGGTTCTCACCTGTATGTGCTTCTGCTGGGCAAAAGTATGCCTGTGTTTTACTTATCAGTACACAACTGCATCTGCAGGTTGTCCAGAAGAGCTTTGAGCCTGCTCCCTCCAGCCATTTCATAGAGGGACGTGTACTCAGGAGAGCGTGTTCTTGGATGAAATCTCTTTTGTGAACTTGGTGATGCATCCTTTCACAGAAGGATGTGAAAGTGGTTTCAGTTTTGTTGGAAAGGCAGGTGGGCGCATTCTGTTCCTGTCTGTGAATGGGGACTGAGATGCTGCTGTAAATTTCTAAGGTCTGTGCTGGGAAAACAATTGCTGACCTGTCTTTCAGTGATGTGGAAGGTTTCTTTCTGCTGCCTCTCTGCCAGAAGGTTTCCTCCTCTGTGTCATGAATAACCACCTTAGAAGCTATTTCAGGTATGCTTGTTGTAGCAATTGGAAAGAGAGAGGCATCTGATGTTTTCCAGGCAGAACTGAGGTCTCTATCCTACCAACACCAGCGCTGTGATACAGTAGAGCTAGTGCCAGAAGAAAGTAGATGCCTGTGTACCATCTGCTTTTTGTGACTGTTGGTATCTCTGGTTGGGCAGCATTGGTGGTGCCTGGCCAATGCTGGAGGAAGAGCCTTCGCATGACAAAGGAGTTACCAGCCTAATTGGTGGCTCATGCATACACTGTTCGAAGCTAGGCTTTGACAAACGTGAGATTCTTCTAAGGCTTCTGAGATGCAGCCTATTCCCTGGCCTTGCTGGGGTCTGTGTTGCAGGGCAGGTAGATAGATTTGGGAATGTTTCTTGTGTTTGCCTAGGGCTTTGTTTGCTTTAGGGAGACATTTCCTGAGTGGGTCCGGCTGGGATTCTGGCTGGAGTTTCCCCTATGCATCTTACGGAGATAGAAGACAGGACACTTAATTAAATAGTGAATCTTCTACACCAACTTAGCAATATTTAGCCCATATGTCCAATGATAAGAACCATCTGGTAGGGCGTGTTGACTGGTGGGTGGAGTAGAGGAATGGAAGACACGGTTCCTGGGATCAATTCCCAGCTCTTCTACTGACTCACTTAATGTCCACAGGCAATTAGCTGTCTTAACCTCTGTCTCTGCTTTAATTTCCCCATCTGTACAATTGTGATGATGTTATGTGCCTTCTGGAGGGATTTGTCAGAACACTTTGGAAGTGCTTGGGCATTTGCCACTGATGGGGCTTAGAGATACAAACACACAAAAAGGAAAAGCAACTTCCGGCCCTAGTGGAAGAATCAAAGAGGAATGAGCCTTACGTGAGTAACCAGCCTCGATGAACAGATGTGTGTATGTGTTCAGAGGTGTTTGGATAAGCGTGTTAGTGGATATTTTTCATTCGCGGAAACCAGAGGAGTGCTGTGATGGGCCTTTGTATGTGCAGTTTTTAGGAGGCAAAAATGTTTAGCCAGAAAAGGCTGCTTTCCTCCTCACCATGCTGTATCTCTTCCAATTCTGATATGAAACCACAACCCTGCTAAGTTTCTTGAAGTTTTAATGATGACACTGCTTGGAGAGATGGAGTTGACAGAAATGAAATACATCTTTAAAACCAGGAACATAGCTCTTCAATGAGTCACAAGTGTCATAGGCACTACTGGGAGCAGCCTACTCATAGTGCCAAAGCTCTGCTCCCCATTGGAGGCTGCAGATCCTTCTGCCCTGGACAGTATGGTCCCAATCTGGCAATGGTACCCTGAAGCTTGTGTTTGTCCTGTGTGTGCTGGATGTCTTTTCCTCCTCTTTCACTCCACCAATGGGATGCTGTTTCTTTCCTTCTCCCTGGAGGCTTCCTATTCATGGGGCTGATGCCATTGTCCAAATCATCAAATCACTTTACTGAGTGATCCTGAGCCTCTTTTTCAAGGCTCATATACAGGTTCTGCCTTATTCTGACACCCTGTCTGGGACAGTGCAGCTGGCAAACACCTCCAAATCTCCTTCAGCCAGCACTTCCCTCTGGGTCACTCATTATCAGCTAATTCTTGGGCAGGATCCATCCTGTATGGCACCAGCATGTTATCATTTAATAAGGAAAAAACACCCAAACCTCACATCTTTTGGGGAAGCGTGTGAATCCCTGAAACAGGAGCTGTTTGTCGCCAGCTGATATGTTGCCACTTGTTGTTGAAATCCCAGCTTGGCAGGCCTGCAGGAGCAGGTTTTTCCTGTTGTTTTTGTCATGGACACAGAACATTGTGTGCTCGTGCTGGACACGTTACCCTCAGAACCTCGTGAGTCTCTCTGAGCACATCTTTTTCCTTCTGTGTTTCCTAGCTTTAAGCAGATGCTTCATCTCAGAGAAAGAGGTGAACTTGGACTGACAGGGTTGGATATCACATTGGGCTGCAAAGTCCCCCTTGGCCAGCCTGTTGGGTTGCCCACCTGGCTTAAAAGTGGACTAATGGGCTACCAAGTGTCCAACACCCCAGCTGCTTTTGCTGGAAAGAAAGTCGCTGTGTCTTGGGGCACATGTATGCTGGGGGATATGAGACTATGAGAGGTCTATGAGATATGGGACTATGAGAGGATGATGTGTTCACATTTGTCCTCTTCTTGGCTGGTAGCACACCCTTGGAGCATTGCACAAGTCCTGGCAGAGCCACTGGTCTGGTTATGACCCAGCTACTGATACAGCCAACAGCCAAGTGGTGGAAAAGCCTGCACTGCCAAGTATGCTGTCAATGGGCTGGAGCAGTGGCATCAACAAAAGCTCCTTATGAAGGGGGTTGTGACACGCTGTGCTACTGGCTCCTCGATGTCCTGAGCCTGAGCTCCTTGAGGCTGGCTCTGTGCCATCCCCCTTGCCTTTCCCTGCTCCCTCCAGAGAGGGAATTCATTAACATGGGAAGGCAGAAGTCAGATCCCCTTTCTAGTTGCCTGTCAATTTTGGGTCCTGAGGCTGGGGGGAACAGGGGTGGGCTGAAGCATCTTGAGGGGGAGGAGTGTCACTGGAGCTTGGGTGGTGGATGCAGTAGGAAAATGGCAAACAAAACACCTTTTTGTGGTGCTACATGAGCAACATGGAGACAGTGGAGGGAAAACCGCAGGGAAAAGGGAATGTGAAAGCTAGAGACATGTTGAAGCTGCAAACATGGGCTGCAACCGCTTGCTGAAGGGTGATGTATCCGTAGGGGGGCTGAGATGCTTTTTAAAGCTTTGGATTTCTGTGGGAAGAAGAATTGGATCTTAAAGCGCAAGAAACTGGGAGTCAGGGCCCTTGGGTTTACTGCCATGTCCTAGGGGAGTGGGTTTTACAGGTGGGATAGACCACATGGGAGTAAGGAGCCTGGCACCTTGTCCTGTCATCACTTGCTCTGGCTCTGGGCTTGGTGTCCCACATTCCCTGACCACGCACCAGAGGTGGATGGTTTTACGCCTCACCTTCTGGGTAGTCTTCTGATCAAAGTTTAATCCCAGCAGATGACAGGAAAACAAATCTTGTAATATAATAATAAAAAGAAAAGCACCACACACAAGTCCTAGGATTAACAAAAATGAAATTTCAGAGAATAATAACGGCACAGAAAAGTCCTGGGACTAACAAAATGTTCAGATGGCACAGCGATGGATGCAGTGTAAATGCTTAAGTTGATGGACTGAAATAGATGCTCCTTTTGCTTGTTTTCTCTTACATCTGCAAGTGCCTAGGGATAAAGAATGTGTGCTCATGCATATTTGTGTGATGTATTCCTGGTGCTGCACAACTTTAAAAACAAAATAAAACCAAATTGAGTTTGCTGAGATATTAGGAGAAAGGTGCTAGAGAAAATCCAGAGACAAGAGCACTTCTTGTTTTGCTGAGATGAACTGTTTTCTAAGCTCTGAGATTAAAAACTACTTGCATTCTCCAAACGAGGTTTTCTTCTGAGGATGGAGGCAGTGCCAGCTAATGGTTCAGACTTGGTTACAGTTGGTGAAGAGTCGATTGCTTTTTAATCTGATTTCCTAAAGAAATAAGGCATGTGATCGTGCTGCCTCTCTGCACATGTGTGTGTGCACAGCTCTGCCTGCCTGGTTCTTCCCTTTCTCTGCTGCAGCACATTCCACCCAGAGGAGATGGGGGAAGGACTTAGAGATGCCCTTACAGGCATCACGGAAGTAGTGGGGCTAAATAGAGGATGACAACTTGGGTGATGCCCCACTGATGGAAATGGCTCTCTGGGCATCAGAGAATCCATATGGAAGCTCAGCCTAGGACAGAAACTCTAAAGACAGGGGTCCAGGCTTTCATGGGGTCTGCTGTGGTGGGTGGTGTGTACATCTGTGCACATGCATGTTCATGCTTTCTTTCTGAATAGGCAGAAGCAACAAGGAGGTGGGGGAGAAATGAAAGAGCAGTAAATAAATACTGCCCACGCTTTGTGTAATGTGTGAGGAATCGCACCGCGCTCAGTGCACTTGCTATTTGTTCTAATAGCCCTGATCAAAGTGATCACTGCTGATGTGCATGTGGATGTCAGAAGTACTTGCAGAGCTCTTCCATTGTAATTTAGCATTAGTTAATAGGTACTTAAAGTGGTTGCCTATTTGATTATGATTGGGGGTTATTAACATTCTTTTCCATAAACAGATGGTAACTGTCCGCTGAGTCAGTTGCAGAACAATTCCAGGGTTCTGATTCAAGAGGACCAGTTCCTGCAAAGATATCTTGGGTGCCTGGCTCTTTGATTTTGTTGATTTGGGGTTGGGTTTTTTTTTTGTATCTCTTTTATTTTTCCTTTCCTTCTTCAATATGCAATTATTGCTGCAGCTTTAAAGGGGGGATAAAAATAATATACAAGATCCA